TATTGCAACAGAGGGGAGAGTGATCGGGCTGAAGATCCACACAAACACACCTGACAATGCTAAAACGCACAGAATTATTCCTTCGATTGCTAAATCTACTGAAGATGGGACAACCATTGCTTTTTATATTAGTGCTATGTTCATAATCTTAAGTTAATTATTTCAAATGTCATTTTCATTATCAAAGGCACCAAATATTCCTTTTATTTTCATTGAAGTTGACGCAAAGCACCTACCATTTCTGCTTTTCACCACTTGTTTATGTTTCGGTCACGTCAGAGACATTCCTGGTGCTGATAATATTGGGGATGTGGCAGTTTCATGAGCAAATGAGGTGCTTTCTTGGAGACTGCAAAAATGTAAGTTCCTGTTGTTTCCTAACAAGCTTACTAACTTTCTTTCTCCCTAGTGAATTTACATTCGTTAAATAAGCACTAATAACATGCCCTAATCATAATTCTTAAAGGCACATTCATGTACATCAAAACCTGCTGGACACAACCTTTCTCGGTCATGCTGGGACAACGATGCAAGTAATAGGCAGACTCACGCCAGTTATTCTTCGACACAGAAAACGAAAACAAGTGGCAAGGCCTATTACAAAAATGGGTCAATACAGTCAATGACATGATTTGACGTCAATGAGCACAAAAATCGGACCTGTCAATATCTAGTAAAGCCAGTGCTAAGTGAAGGCACCTGGACAACTAGTAGCAGCAGTAGCGTAGAGGATCGTTCAAGATCTACACAAACAAGTGGACTACATAGGAAATGGGAAGGTAAGAATCGGTACAGCCAGCGGCAATGCATCCCAACGCACCCTGCAGACTTCCAGCAGATTCAGCAAAATCCACCAGCAAACACTGGCCGCTAAAACGCACTTCAGCAGCGGTACAGTCTAAACAAAATATATCCTTCGAAGGCTCGAGGCGAATATAGCTGGCATACTACTCCACGTGCAATTCGTCCTCATTCCCTGCAGTAGAATTGGAAATTCTCACCCACTTATCGCCCACGCCAACAAACTCCGACCCGAAAAACATCCTCGCACCTATTGAAACAAAACGATGGGTAGAAATACAATTTCGACAACGGTGAAATTCTGCAATAAACTTACCAGTCAACTCAGCGGATCAACACACACCCCAATGGCCTATTTGTGACAGAATCTTCACCACCTTGAGGTGTGTATGTTCAAATTGCGTCTGCTGAAGTTGCGCAATACACAATTAAAAACGGAAATGGAGAGGAGTGTACTCAGGTACCCTTTCGGTGGGCACCGCAGCCGCGTCCAAGCCCTAGAAGCACGAATATTCTAATAACATAGATATAATGACAACTTGGCGGACGCCACTTTAGCCACGCAATTGTGAAAATGGATTCAGAAATCTAGATTAATACCAAATACTCCCCAAAAACACTTGCAGTAAAGTCATTAAGATGCAAAATGCACCCCTACAACTCCGAAGTTAAGACTCACTCGTAACTGAGCGAGATGCAGAGAAACAATAAGGTCCAATTACAAATTGGGCGTTCTTCAGTAATCTCGCGAAGCTTATCAGATGCAACATTAATTCAGTGCATGAGCACAAAAATCGGACCTGTCAATATTCAGTAAAACCAGTGCTGAGCGAAGGTAGGGTAAAGCGAAATTGAGAGGGGCAGTGGAGCAGAATACAATGAAATGAAGCGGATAAGGTGACATTATCACCTAATTTCACTTTGCAACTTCCAGTAGTGGCCTATTGACGAGGAAAGACGAAGGCAATAAGGCAAAATACCCTATTAGAGGCGAAGCAACTGCTGCTCCTGACTGATTCATTAGAGGCCAAGCAAAAGTGTAGGAATTTCGACTTGGTCACTTTCCTGTGTCAGGCATTAAA